CTTTACATATATTGTATATTCACATCAGTCCCTAACTATCAAGGGGTGTACAATCTAAGGTCCCTAACTTACATTCATACATACATATACTAGGGCCAATTTAGAGAGGATCCAATTAACCTACCAGCATGTCTTTGGAGTGTGGGAGGAAACTGGAGTACCCGGAGGAAACCCACGCAGGCACAGGCAGGAGGTGCTATGGCTGGGATTCGAACCAACAACCTTAGTACTGCCAGACGGAAGTGCTAAACATTTAGCCACTGTGCTGCCAAATTGAAAATGGGCAAGGTACATTATTTTTTCTAAAATAATGTACCTTGCCCATTTCTGCACAGAACAGAACCACCAGCAACTTTCTGCAGAACACAAAAGAAAAGACACACCAAAGGAATACATTTTAGTGGGTCAGACCAAAAGTAATAAACTGAAAATTTTAAAGGGAATTTAAGAATCAGGTTAGGGCTCTGGTGGAAAAACATGAGGGTGAGGGAGTACATTGAAGGTACAGTATATGCCCCTTACCATGTTCCTTTGGCCATGTATGGGCAAACTATCAATGCATAGAGCTATGCAGGCCTATAGAGGGGCAGCAAAGCTATAATTAATACAACGTTTTAAAAACTGTATGCACAAACCTCTGCAAACAATACATGGCCAGACTAACTTCGAGTCATTGAACTGAACATTGCTCCACAAGGCTAAGAGAACACTTTCATATAACATATTATTATTAGGTCTTTTCTGACACTTTTTGTTTACAAGTAAAGATCAGTATTTGTTTGCTAGAAAATGAATTTGAGTCCATAAAACCTCATCCCGGTATAACCACCGAAAGTCCAGAGACGTATGGGTACGTCACTGGTCCGCAAATGATTAAAAATTGTATTATTCAGGATGTTTTATAGCAGTTTTCACAGTGCCTTACAAAATATGAAATACCATCATGAAAAGATGGAACAGAAAGCAAGTAAAAACATAAAAGCCATATCAATACTTACTTTCACGTAATGTAATATTGTTACAATAATTATTGGAAAATAAAGTACACTTTTTATTCTATTTAACCACTGAAAATTAAAGCTATATTACAAATTGATTTCCGCAATCTATTTTGAAACTGTGACCACTGTGTCTTGACTGGAATAGATTAATTTGCTTTTTTTTTCCACCCCTATTAAAGCATGAATGAAGAGTGTGCAGTGCTAATTCTAAACACTAGAGGGGAGTATTTAAATAAACATGGTAAAGTGACAGTAAATATGCATCACATTTTCTGTGTGTGTATGTATGTATATTATACACAGTTGTGTTCAAAATAATAGCAGTCAGACATCACTAACCTGATCAATCACTGTTTTTGGTAGAAATGATATTTCTACATGGCAAATGATTTACTAGCAGGAGTAGTAGAGTAATAGAAATCCAACAGACCCAACAGTCATGACATGCATGCTGCTGATTCTGTGTAATTGAATCACTAATTGAAAGGGGCGTGTTCAAAATAATAGCAGTGTGGAGTTCTATTAGTGAGGTCATTCATTCTTTGAAAAACAGGTGGCAATTATTGCCCTTATTTAAGGAAGGAAGGCAGCAAATGTTGTACATGCTGGTTACAGTGCATTTCTCTCTGAAATTCTAAGGAAAATGGGTCGTTTCCAGACATTGTTCAGAAGAACAGCGTACCTTGATTAAAAAGTTGATTGGAGAGGGGAAAACATATAAAGAAGTGCAGAAAATGATAGGGTGCTCAGCTAAAATGATCGCAAATGCTTTAAAATGGCAACCAAAACCTGAAAGACGTGGAAGAAAGTGAAAAACTACCATTCGAATGGATAGAAGAATAGCCAAAATGGCAAGGACTCAGCCAACAATCAGCTCCAGGAAGATGAAAGAAGGTGTAAAGTTCCCTGTGAGTACTGTTACAATTAGAAGACGCCTATGTGAAGCCAAGCTATCTGCAAGAAGCCCCCGCAAAGTCCCACTGTTTGAAAAAAAGACATGTGCTGAATAGGTTACAATTTGCCAAAGAGCACATTGACTGGCCTAAAGAGAAATGGTGCAACATTTTGTGGACTGATGAAAGTAAGATTGTTCTTTTTGGGTCTAGTGGGCGGAGACAGTTTGTCAGACGACCCCCAAACACTGAATTCAAGCCACAGTACATTGTGAAGACAGTGAAGCATGGTGGTGCAAGCATCATGATATGGGGATGTTTCTCATACTACGGTGTTGGGCCTATTTATCGCATACCAGGGATCATGGATCAGTTTGAATACATCAGAATACTTGAAGAGGTCATGCTACCTTATGCTGAAGAGGAAATGCCCTTGAAATGGGTGTTCCAACAAGACAACGACCCCAAACACACTAGTAAACGTGCAAAATCTTGGTTCCAGACCAACAAGATTGACGTTATGGAGTGGCCCAATCCCCATCTTAATCCAATAGAAAACTTGTGGGGTGACATCAAAAATGCAGTTTCTGAGGCAAAACCAAGAAATAGAGAAGAACTGTGGAATGTAGTCCAATCATCCTGGGCTGGAATACCTGTTCACAGGGGCCAGAAGTTGGGTGACTCCATGCAACACAGATGTACAGCAGTTCTCAGAAACAGTGCGACTACAACCAAAATATTCATGAAGTGATTCAAAGGAAAGCAAAATCTTCAAACATTTTTCAGTTTATATAGTGAATGTTTGAGTTTGTAAAGAAGAATACAAACACAGTCTAATATTCACTTTTCTTCAATTTTTTTAGAAGAACAACACAAATTTGATATATTTTTCTTCATGTTTTGATTTGGAATAGAATGTGTAGTGTTCCCAATGCATTTGTGTGTATGGAAATAAATGCTATTAGAAGGATTTTGAGCTTTATTCACTTTTTTCAACACACTGCTATTATTTTGAAATACAACTGTGTGTGTATATATATATATATATATATATATATATATATATATACTCTCTTTAGTCTGCACCTGTATTAGTATTTTATTTTAATTAAGATAAATGTGCAATTTGCTAATGCCTATGCGGGGCAAACAAAAGGGATCCTAAATGCCAACCACTGGCTGCTTAGTCCTCATGCACACTGGATGTTTTTACAGCGGCTGTTTGTGGCTTTTGTTGTTTTTTTCTACAGCCAGTAAACTCCCCAGCATGTTATCCTATGTGCCCATGCACACATAGACTGGAATCAGAGTTTTTTGGCAGGAACGTTTGTTTGCAGGAAAAAAAACCCCAGAACTAGTGGGTTTCTAGAGGAGTTTTTTAGCTGTAAAAATGTTCTATGACCGAAAAACGCGGCAAAACACTGCAAACCAGCATTTTTGGACTTTTTTGAGCAAAAAAAATATTTTTTATTTTCTTAAAAAAACGCAAACTCGGAAAAACGCGGCTGGACGCTAATGCAAAAACGCTAAAAACCCATGAAAAACTTGAGCTTTAAATGTGACTTTACACAGCTAATGCTACCAGTGTTATTAAAACGCCCCGTGTGCATGGAGCCCTAGGGCCAGTGCAGGGGCGGACTGACAACTCATGGGGCCCCCGGGCAATAGGGGATCATGGGGCCCCTGTGTCCTTGCCCAAACTCACAAAAGCCTATGAAAAAGGTACCAGGGGCATCTCATGGGGCCCCCTACTGACCCCGGGCCCTCGGGCAGTGCCCGAGTTTCCAAATGGTCAGTCTGCCCCTGGGCCAGTGTTGATGGACTTTGGTTTTGTGTCGAAAGGCAAACGCAGCATGCTTATTACATTAGTTTGTGACTCTTCTGAGATCATTTAGAATTCACTGATGAGTGCATTTGACCTGCAGTTCACCTTCTTTTGACCTGCATTTGGCCTTCTAAAAGCTTCTTTTGAATTCCTATAGACCTGCATTAGAGAAGCAGTTCTGACACAAACAAAATCCCACCAATTCCAAGGCATTATATACTTATATTGATTGTGCTCCCTCAACACTCTATTCTCCTGCTTGAGTGAAGAGAAAAATCATATAAGCTCCAAGACGATCTGGGCAAACCTCTCTCCCAGCACTGGGTCCTGGTGATTTATCATATGATATGCTGTACTTCCCAGCATTAGAAGCTGAGAAAGAGTGGGCACAACTGCATTGCTCTGGATATTGGGTGTGGCCTAAAGGAACATGGGTAAATGTAGACTAAACCAGGGGCCTCCAAACTTTCTAAACAAGGGGACAATTTACCGATTTACTGTCCTTCAGTTTTTTAGGGGGGGGGGGGGGTTGTAACCAGTAGCAGTAGAAAATTTCCTGGTGTCAGTGGGATTAAACAATACCACAAATTTAGTGGGAGGACTAGTGCTCTATCATTGGTTTAGTGGGAGGAATACTGCCTCACTATTTGTGTCAGTGACAGGAATATTGCTCCATCATTGGTGTCAGTGGAAGGAATAGTGTCCCATCATTGGTGTCAGTGGGAGGAATAGTGCTCCATCATTGGTGCAAGTGGGAGGAATAGTGCTCCATCATTGGTAGTGGGAGGAATAGTGCCCCATCATTGGCGCAAGTGGGAGGAATAGTGCCCCAAGTGGGCAAGTGGGAGGAATAGTGCTCCATCACTGGTGTCAGTGGGAAGAATAGTGCCCCATTGTTGGTGTACGAGGAAGGTACACTATATTGCCAAAAGTATTAGGATGCATACCTTTACATGCATATGAACTTTAATGGCATCCCAGTCTTAGTCTGTAGGGTTCAATATTGAGTTGGCTCACCCTTTGCAGCTATAACATCTTCAACTCTTCTGGGAAGGCTGTCCACAAGGTTTAGAAGTGTGCCTATAGGAATGTTTGCCCATTCTTCCAGAAGCGTATTTGTGAGGTCAGGCACTGATGTTGGACGAGAAGGCCTGGCTCACAGTCTCCGCTCTAATTCATCCAAAAGGTGTTCTTTTGGGGTGAGGTCAGGAATCTGTGCAGGCCAGTCAAGTTCCTCCATCCCAAACTCGCTCATCATGTCTTTATGGATCTTGCTTTGTGCACTGGTGAGCAGTCATGTTGGAACAGGAAGGGGCCGTCCCCAAACTGTTCCCACAAAGCTGGGAGCTGAAATTGTCCAAATGTCTTAATGTGACACCTTAAGAGTTCTCTTCACTGGAACTAAGGGGCCAGGCCCACCCCTAAAAAACAACCCCACACCATAATCCCCCCTCCACCAAACTTTACACTTGGCACAGTGCAGTCAGGCAAGTACCTTTCTCCTGGCACCTGCCAAGCCCAGACACGTCCATCAGATTGCCAGACAGAGAAGCGTGATTGGTCACTCCAGAGAACATGTCTCTGTGTTGATTGTACGCAATAGAGACATGGATGCTGTACGTGACAGCCATCTTGTTAGGCCTCCACCATTTTGTCTCTCCTTTCCTCCCTCTTGACATGGAATTTGCAGCTGTAAGTTGAACGGACTTCAAAAGGGCCTCTTATCTTAAATAAAACACAGATAGAGCTCCAGAGCTGTAACCGCTAATTAGTGTGGTGCAGGAGGTCTGCTTTGAAAACCACTTTCCTCTGCATGATTGTAAAACAATAATCAGTCAGCCATGACCTGTTAGGCCATTAGGGAGTGCCATAAAACGTCCATTCCACATGTATCCATTTCACATACAATTCATAAAGTTCAGCAGGAACTGGGCACATTAATATTAGGTATATATTTGGAAAGGTTCGTGTCGAGTCATACATGACTATAATAGAACCTAGGAGAGAGAAGAAGCAGTCTCTTACCTCCTGCGTGACAAGGGTACGCTGTGTTTGGTATCCCTGGTTTTGAAATATAATTCTGAATATCAATCTGCCAGTTGCTAGAATACAACCTGCACATACTGGAAGTTATTAATATTAGTATGAAACTGCAGTTGGAACTTGGTCATTAACTTGGGGGCCACCTAGCACCTATCCCCAAACTGGATGATTGGTGATTTGTTCTCAGGCGACACCCCTTTAATATCATAGAAAAAGATCTGGTCTGGAGAAGAGAGCTCTCGTTTAACATCAGTCAAAAAACATCTAACAGACTTGAAAGCCAAGGCAATCTTTTTGCTCGGACTATTGGAATCTGCTTAAACCAAGGACTTTACAAGTATTCTGCCTTCTTAACTTCTTTCTTTTATTTCTCTGTTGCTTTATTGTTCTCTTTATGTCTTTGTAACATCTTTTTCTGTAAATATTTTAATTGCACCATTTTGACCTTTTTAGTAATAAATCCTATTTTGAAAAGTGTTGAAGCTGTCTCTAAAGCTTATAATGCAAACTACAGAATCCCTTTCTCTTGAAGAGTGCTACTGTATACAATAATCCTCTGAACATACTTTTCTGTGGTGACAGTGTGTGTTACAGACGCTTATGCTAAAATCATAGTGTTATTGCTACGATTTGTGAGTTTCCTCCTTCTCTGTAAAAAGATGGTGGTGGCAGTGTGAAGGGTTAATTGCGTAATTAACCTAACCCAGTAACAATCACTCTCAGGCTGCTGGCACATAGATTGTGGTCCTGCAATCTGGAAAATATTTGTGCAGGGCACAGCTAAGAGTGGCATTGTTACCCAAGTGACAGCGCGGTGCGAGATAGGCTGGTCCTTCGGTCACGAGTTGGTGAGAAGGGCAGGGGTCAGGCGCTGCATTCTGTCACAGTCTCCACTGCACTAGAGTCAACCACTGCATCCAACACTTCATATTGCACTTGGTGATGTAAGGCTTGGATGCAGCTACTTGGCCATGGAAAACCCATTCTATGAAGCTCTCTATGCACTGTTGTGCTAATCTGAAGGCCACACGACATTTAGAGGTCTTTAGCTATTGACTCTGCAGACAGTTGGTGACTTCTTCACATTATGCGTTTCAGCATGCACTGACCCCGCTCTGACATTTTATGTGGCCTACAACTTCGTGGCTGAGTTGCTGTTGTTCCCAGTTGCTTCCACTTTACTATAATACCACTAACAGTTGACCGTGGAATATTTGTAGGAAGGAAATGTCACAGATGGAAATATTGCACAGGTGGCAACCTATCACAGTACCACGCTTGAATTCACTGAGCTCCTGAGAGCGACCCATTCTTTCACAAATGTTTGTAGAAGCAGTCTGCATGCCTAGGTGGCTTGATTTTATACACCTATGGCCATGGAGGTGATTGGAATCCAATGATTTGGAGGGCTGGCCCAATACATTTGGCAATATAGTGTATAATGTCCCAATTGTTGTCAGAAGGAATAGTGCTCTATGTATCCGCATATATTGCGTTCAGCTAAATGCATTCTACTAGACATAATATTAATGTATCCTGACCACAGGAATAATTTACATGCTTATGCGTGTTTACAGACATACGCAAATAAAATACACTGATAACCTGTGTTCTGGGTTGTGGTAACATAGTAATAGTATAAAGATGCCGCACTCCTATCAGCTGAATGTGAGATATCAGTGAAACGGCTGCAGCCTTAACGCTTCTCTAATCCATGCCCCCCCCCCTTTCCCTATGAGTCCCTATTGGGTCCTCTCAGAAGCCTGACTAAAAAAATCCCCAACCTTGTTGCTAGGACACAAAAACCATGGAATCCTCACTCCCAAGCATTGCAGGAGTGAAAACCAACAGTTTTTGCATCCTATCAACAAGGCAGGACATGTGGGTTGCTAACTAGACATTTTTTAGTCAGTCTTCTGAGAGTTCCCAAATGGTCTACAGTTAGAACAATACAATGAATGATCATTCTGCAAAGCTGAATAGATTTTCAACTGGGGCCCCTTGGCAGCATAGGTTGTTTTCTAGAAAAGGTGAACAATTAGCCTTTAACCATTTCCCGACTGCTCATAGTCTATAGACAGCGGACGGGAAGCTGTCCCAAAGCGGGCTAACATACCTGTACCTCAGCCCCCTCAACGGTTCCTGCACGGCTCAAAGAGAGTACACCCGGGAGCCTGACAATTTGTATGTCGCCCAGACACAGTGGGTCACATTGCCGCTGTGTCTGGGCGATCACATAGTGTTTTACCATGTGATTGCTGTGTCCCATCCCAGTAAACACTAGAAACTGAAACTATAGATCGGTTTTCTCTGCTCCCACTGTGAGAGCAGAGAGAGAACCGATACAGCAGCCTGTCGGGGTGCATGAACACTTACAGACTGCTGTGCCAGCCAGCCCCAGTGTCCCTAATCACTGCCCCAGTGTAGGAACAATAAAGTTTGCAGCCAGCACTTGTCACCTGTCCAGGTGTGCACAAAAAACACCACCATACCAATCTCCTGTTCACTAAACCAGCGTTCTGATCACCACCATACCTCATACCAGCACCATGATCACCACCATATACCATACCAGCACCCTGATCACTGCCATACACCATACCAGCATCCTGATCACTGCCATATGTCATATTAGCATTCTGATCACCAACATATGCCATACCAACTCCTCCTGATCACCGCCATAGGCCATACCCAACCTCCTGATCACCGCCATAGGCCATACCAACCTCCTGATTACCGCCATATGCTATACCAGCACCCTGATCATCGCCATAAACCATACCAGTGCCCTGATCACCGTCATACATCATATTAGCATTCTGATCACCGCCATATGCCATACCAACCTCTTGATCACCGCAATACTCCATACCAGCATCTTGATCACCCCATACGCCACACCAGCATTCTTATCACAGCCATGCCCCATATCAGCATCATGATCACTACCATACTACATACCAGAGTTCTGATCCCCACCATACCCCATAACAGCATTCCGATCACCACTATACCCATACCAGCGTCCTGATCACCCATATGCCATGCTAATGTCTTGATCACCACCATACCCCATACCAGTTTCCTGATCACCACCATTCCCCATATGCCAGCGTCCTAATCACTGCCATACCTCATGCTAACGTCCTGATCACCGCCATACCCCATACCAGTGTCCTGATCACCACCATTCCCCATATACCAGCGTCCTGATCACTTCCATACCTCATGCTAATGTCCTAATCACCACCATACCCCATACCAGCATCCTGATCACTGTCATACGTCATACCAGCGTCCAGCATTTTAGGGTCTCAAATGATCAATTTTCAAATATATATCCCATAGTTTGTAGACTCTATAGCTTTCACACAGACTAAATAATATACACTGTTTTGGGTGATTTTTTTTTTTTTTAAAAATAGCAGAATACATTTTGGCCTAAATTTATGAGGAAAATTTATTTGCTAAATTTTATAACAAAAACTAAGCAAAGATTTGTTTTTCCAAATTTTCAGTTTTTTAATTTATATAGCAAAAAATAAGAAAAACCCAGTGGTGATCAAATACCAACAAAAGAAGGCTCTGTCTTCAAAATTATAAAAATTTCATATGGGTACAGTTTTGCATGACTGAGTAATTGTCACTCAAAGTGTGATATTATTATTATTATACATTATTTATATAGCGCCAAAAGGTTTGCTCAGCGCTGTACATTATAGTGGGGGACAGTACATGAGACAATACAGTGACAAAACAATACACGAGGGGTTCGAGGGCCCTGCTCTTTCGAGCTTACAATCTAGGAGATGTGCTGAAAGATGCAAATTGGCCTGAAAGGAAGGGGGACTTGATGTGGTTAAACACCAAGGTTATGATGGCAGGATTGTCAGTTTTCTCAATTTTGTCAACAGATCTACAAGTGTTAGCTTTGCGTGCAAATGGGAAAAGGTAGCCTGACAGTTTGCTAACAAATATGCTGTCGGTGTGATCTATCCTAGAATTAAATGTCACGTGCATTGTTATCGGAATGTATATAACAGTTTTACAAGCATAAGCTGTGCTGACAAAGAAAGGCAAATTGGCAGAGGAAACTGCTTGCAATTACACTCACCAGCCACTTTATTAGGTACACCTTTGCTAGTATCTGGTTGGACCCTCTTTTGCCTTCAGAATTGCCTTAAGCCCCTGTTCACATCAAAGCCGATTTTGAAATCATGCGACTTATAGTGAAGTCGCACGATTTCAAAATCGGGTCACCTGACGATTTCAGTTGAGATTTGCAAGACATCTATGCAAATCGCACCAAAAGTAGTGCATGTACTACTTTTGAAATTGGTGCAGCTCCGAACAAGTCAGAACCACACCGATATGACCGCTCCAATTGCGGACAATAGGGTGCGACTTGGCATTCGATTTGCAAGTCGCAGGGCATGCAAATCACATGCCAAGTCGCACTGATGTGAACGGGGTGTTATTCTTCGTGGCATAGATTCAACAAGGTGTTGGAAACATTCCTCAGAGATTTTGGTCCATTTTGACATAATAGCATCACGCAGTTGCTGTAGATTTGTTGGCTGCACATCCATGAACCGTTGATACAAGGCAGGATGGATCCATGCTTTCATGTTATTTACGCCAAATTCTGACCCAACTATCTGATTGTCGCAGCTGAAATTGAGACTCATTAGACCAGGTAACGTTTTTCCACTCTTCTATTGTCCAATTTTGGTGAGCCTGTGCAAATTGTAGCCTCTGTTTCCTGTTCTTATCTGACAGGAGTGGTACCCGGTGTGGTCTTCTGCTGCTGTAGCCCATCTGCCTCAAGACTCGACATGTTGTGTGTTCAGAGATGGTATTCTGCATACCTTGGTTGTAACAAGTAGTTATTTGAGTTACAGTTGCCTTTCTATCATCTCGAACCAGTCCACCCATTCTCCATTGACTTCTGACATCAACAAGGCATTTTCATCCACACAACTGCCGCTCACTGGGTATTTTCTCTTTTTCGGACCATTCTCTGTAAACCCTAGAGATGGTTGTGCATAAAAATCCCAGTAGATCAGCAGTTTTTTAAATACTGAGACCAGCCCGTCTGGCCCCAACAACCATTCCACATTCAAAGTCATTTTATTCCCCATTCTGATGCTCGGTTTGAACCTCAGCAAGCCGCCTTCACCATGTCTAGATGTCTAAATGCATTGAGTGGCTGCCATGTGATTGGCTGATTGGCAATTTGTATTACCAAGCAATTGAACAGGTGTACCTAATAAAGTGGCCAATGAGTGTATATAGACTGGTATCTTGGTCTGTAGCACCAAATATCACAGAAGGAAAACAGGATCAAGTGTTATCTTAGCCACTTTAAGACTACCAGCTCACATTGTACTGAGGATGGGTGGCAGCTACAGGCAAAGCAATGTAGTGGTACGTTGCTCTGCCTCTCCTAACACATGGGGCTCCTAACACAGTGCTCCCCCCTCCTGTCCGCTGTGCTCACCACAGTGGACATGGGGTGTTCCTTGTGAGCTGTGCTTGGCCCACAGCTCTCACATGGAACATGGGGCCAGTCACAGTACCCTGTCCTTTGTGACCAGCTGCAGCCAACCACAGATCAATGTATTTTGAACTGTCATGAACTTAACCCATTCATGACAGTTCAAAGCAAGCTTTGGATTCCAGAACAATCATCTTTATTGCTACTGCAATGCAAAGTAAATAAAAAAAAAATAAAAAAAAAAAAAAAAACCTGATCATCCCCCCAGAGTAGTTCAATGCTACTATGATACCACTGCCCTACTCTGATTAACCGCTTGCCTACCAGCCACAGTATATATACTGTGGCAGGGCGGCACCGCTGTGCAGAATCACGTTTTTAAAACATCATTTTGCAAAACAGGTAGGGGGCGCGCGCGCGAAGGCGTGCAGGTGCCAATCACTGGGTCCCGGACGGTCATTACCCGCTGGGTCCCGGCTATTGCCGGGATACAGTGACACAGAGCACAGCTGCATTGTTTTCAAACGCAGCTCTGCTCCCTGTCAGTTCCCAACTCACTGTCAAGGAGAGCAAAGATTAGCTTTCGGGACAGCATGCAACAGTGAAGTACACCCCCACCCCCCCCCCCCCCCCGTCCACTAGTAAAACATTCCCCTCACACAGTTAACCCTTTGAGTGCCTTAAAAAAGTTAACCCCTTCCTCCCCAGTGCCATTAGTACAGTGTCAGTGTTATTTTTTTTTTTTGCACTGATCACTGTATTGGTGTCACTGGGGATGTCAGTGACCCCAAGTCAGTTCCCCCTCAGTGTCAGAATGTCCGCCGCAGTCCTGCCATAAGTCGC